GGGTGGGTGTTTGGCCAACTAACAGTTTGCAGGAAGGTTGGGTCTGTGGCCGGTTTGAGTGTGCATGAGGGCTGTGGTGTGTGACACTCATTTGCACATGGATTCAGCAAGGGTAGGGCTAGGTTGGCGTTTGAGCCAGAGATTTGGGCGGGTGCAGCTGGTCCCAGTCGAGTCATTTCACACACTCGTTTGCAATTCATGAACAACGAACGCCTGGTCCTCTTTACAACTTGCTAATACTCACAAACCCCCCTCCCCCAACATACACACCAACCCACGCACACACTATCTTTCCCACCCCACACGTCCACCCCAACCTCACCACTCACCCCAACACCCCTCCATTTTATGGCAGCAACCACTACCATCTATGGCCATCTATTCCCCCAGACACAACCGTAAACGCCGCGCCCCCACTCAACCCACCGCAGTGGGATGACGAAACAGGGGAGCCCACCCGCCTGGTGGGATTCGACCTCAGCGAACCCACAGCGCACAACCAGGTGCGCCCAAAAACGCGGACGGCGAGGGAAAGAAGAGAAGCGCCTGCCGCATTCGCTTATGTACCGCTCGCCCTTGCGCTTCTTCCTGCGCCACGCCTCGCGTCTGGCTGGGCGGGCGGGGCGGCGGGGAGGGCGGTTTAGGGGGCTCCCTCTGACGGTCGACCTTGGGCCTGCGGCCGGCGGTGGCGCCACAGGGAGGGTGTGCGTGCTTGCGAGGGCGATGTGGCACTCATGCACACACGCACGAACACAGTGCACACATGCATGCGCCCCCCCCCCCCAAACAAACACACTCACGCAGGGCAAGCCCGAGGCGATAGCGCGTATCCGCCAGTCTCAGCCTTATAACACGATCGTCATGATCGGGGACGGCATCACGGATCTGGAAGCCGTGCAGGTGGTTACGCTACGGTGTAGCCCGGCCGGCCCTGCCTGCCCGCGGCCGCGTGGCGCGCTTCCGCTGCCAGGATGGCTCCAGAGGCGCGCGATTGGGGGATACCTGCTGCAATAAACCGCACCCTATCCTATCCAGAGCGGGTTGCTCTTGCAACGCTTCACCACGCTTGACAAGGATAGTTTGCTGACCTGAGCCTGTGCTGTCGTGCGTCATGTCATCATATCTGGTAACGGCCTCAGGTGACTGGCGGCGCCGACCTGTTCATCGGCTTTGGCGGCGTGATCCAGCGGCCGGCGGTCGCGGCCGGCGCGGACTGGTGGGCGGTGGCGCTAGGGCCTTGGGTCTCTCGAAGCTCTCCCGACCGGACCAATGGTACCAATGCAAACTGCGCCATGCCCCCAGACACAATGCGGGCAATTGGTCAATCCTGGTCGAATGCAAAGTCTGGGAGGCAGGGGTCACCCACACAAACAGCGCCGCCACGCACAGCGCGGGCCTGGCAGCCTGTGCTTTTTGGGGGGTTGTGAGGGGTTGCTGACCAGTGGGTGACCAGCTGACCTCAAGGGGCATTGTCACTCCCGCCATTCCTTGTAACCACGCACCACCTGTGTGGTGACGTCACCCGCTGTCAGGTACGTCACCGACTACAAGATGCTCATCGACAACCTCAGGCGGTACAAGGTGCGCCCGATGCACATCATCAATGCTGACATCACTATTTAGGACTGAAACGGCCTGCAGTCTTTGTGGCATGTGCCTTGGTAGTTGTTTGGTGTATGTATGAGGCCTGGAAGCAAACGTGAACCCTCAGAATCATTCACGTGCACACATGCGCACACACATATAATTACCCACACCCATGCACACAGAGAGACAGAGACACACGTACGCACACACGAACACAGACTCGCTCGCACATACATGCATACAAATGCACATACATTTTGTCGCACACTTATCCTCACACAAAAAACGCAAGCCACAGCACGCCATCCACACGCAAAAGCGACACCACCCTCACCGACCTTCACCGTCGGCTCCAGGTGGCGATGGTGGGGAGCGGCGCGTGGGCGTGCGCCGCGCTGCACATGGTGGCGCAGAACACCCTGGGCGACGACCCCGCGGACGAGTTCACTGATGAGGTCCGCATGTGGGTCTACGAGGAAGAGTATGAGGTGGGTAGTCTGACCTGTGATTTGTGAACTTGTGTAATCAAAGGGATCTCAGGACCCCGAGTATGCATACCTTGTATTGCACCGCTGCACATGCCACGCTGCACCCTGCACCCCCTGACCCCCTGCACTACCCACCCTGCATAAGCCACCCTTGCCCCCCCCTTCCGGCACGCC